ACTTGAGGGATTTTCTCTAAACATATGTTTTGACTTGATACGTGAGATTGTTCGTAAATGTGTATTCGTACTCGTAGGGACAAGCGAGAAAGGATGTCACCATGTATTTTTGAGTCGTGTTGCATATGAAGTGGTGTCATGTTGTTTTTAAAAGTCTTATTTTCAAAAACTTGTTAGCAAATGGCACTTAAGTCAAACGTTATAAGTTTTATTTAAAAAAAGTTATGTTGATGATAAAGAGATTAAATATTTGAGTTCTATTGCTACCTTTATTTTAATAAAACGAGAAATGTAATATTCCTAAAATCTTTATATTTTGAAGTAGCACTTGTTAACCCTTTAAGGATTTAAATCTCATTTTTTATTGCTTCATATGAAATGAGAAAGGATACTCATTTGATTTGTTCTAACGATTTGGATTGACTGTGAATGTCATAATATGATAAAATAGATACTTTGAGGCTACTTCGATATGAATATATTTTTAGAGTATCAAATATTTTGGGAGTTATTTGTATTCATCAAGATTGGCTTCGAATATATTGTGTTCGTCGTCATGAAACTACACGTGTCGGTGTAGGCATAGATTCCCACTTTGTGGTATAGACTACGGCAGAACATCATCCTTGAGAGGGTGTTATTTGTGCTATTACTAGTATGGCGGAGTTGATTCATACGGCACTACGATGAGACGACCTGAGCAAGTAGGGTATATGATACTTGCCGCTAGGTACATAACCTAGTTGGTATTCTTGTGTCGGTGATAGTATAGTACTCCTGGTGAAAGGTAAAATATGCCTTTGTTATGTATAAGCCTAAGAAACCGAAAGTGATTTCAAATGACTTAATAAAGTTGAAATAATTTTGCATGATTTTATAGAATCATCGATTGATACAAGTATTTAAAAAGTTTGTATCATGTTTTACATTTTATTAGTCTTTTTATTTAAAATAATAAAGTATGAACTGCTGTAAGGGTTTATCGCTTTATATAAAGTGTTGGTTGCATATGTTTTTTAAAGCCTTGTCCTAGGAACTCGAGTTAGAGAGAGTTTATGATATTTATTGAGTACCATGGTGGTGTACTCAGCCGTCAGGGCCCCCTCTCCAAGGTCCCGCTTTCTTTACATGTTTTCAGGATGAGATGTAGCATGTGATTGGCGGATGAGGCTAGGATAACTCTCTTTAATTCCAAGGTATATAGTGAGGCACCATTTCTATTTCGTGGTTGTTGTCGTGTTGATCTTACTTTCTTCTGGTTGGATTTGCCCCAAGTATTTATTCTATCCTCGTGTCATAGAGATTCCATCGACAATTATTATTACTTTGGATTGTAATTAAGAGTTATTCATATTGCATGCATGAAAGAAATATTGCCATCTTTATGTATTTTCAATTATTGAAAATGGTGGATTAAAATATTATATTTCATGTATGGTCTTAATTATTTAAAATAATTGTGGTTTCTAAAAAGCTTTTGCATGCATCTATTAGGCATATAGATGGGTATTCTTATACGTGTTGGTCCACTCGGGTTGGGTAGTATGCTGGGTGTCGGTCACGCAGTTTTGGGTCGTGACAGGAAACCACATTACAAGCTTTACCCTTTTATTTGAATGGACCATCTATTTGAACATTATACCTATCTTGAGCACTTGAATTTGTTATGAACTTTGTAAAAGTTGAAGTGTGGGGTGGTTGAGTTGGCTTTTGAGTGGAATTATTGAACTAAGGAGAAATGTGCACTGTATTGAAAAAGTAAGAGCCACTTGAATCGAAAGAGAAAAGAAAAAAATATTGTATTGTTGTGCAAAATATTCCTTGATGGTGGTAACTTGATGTAATTGTGCTTAAAGAAGTAGGAAGTTAATGTATCTTGATGTGAAGGTGGAGTTTTGGTTTGACATAAGTGTGGGGTTTTGAATGGCTAATTGTATGTATTAAAAGTGTTTAGGCAGGTGTAGTCACTTTTATATCTAAATATATCATACCCATCCCGCAACCTACATTACAACTAATTAAAGTCCTACTTGATCCTTGACTGAATGAGCTCAATTAGTAGAGTAGTACACTATGGGCAAGCCTATGGTACGTCTTTTGTGGCATATGAATGTTATTTTTTAGAGTGAGTGAATTATTTTTATCTTGAGATTCTAATTGTTCTTAAATTTTATTGTGCGAGGAACAACTCTCTATTGTTGTGTGAGGGCACTTAATTCATGAAGGAAAGGTAATGTCATTGACCTCTGTGTTAGAGTAAGTGAGCGTGTTATAAAAATGCGTGGTGCTTTTGAGTCAAATCTTGAGGCTAGGATGTTACAGTATTGTGCTTAATCTCTTTTAAATATTCTTGGTGTGATGAGTTATTAGAGTTGTTGAAAGAAGTCGTGTCTATATGAAGTGTAGTTTGATTACTTGAGGACGAGCAATGGTTTAAGTGTGGAGTGTTGATGGTAGGCTATAATTACGAATTTTAATCACTTATTGCACTCTAGTTCACTGCACTTTATTCATGTTTGAGCTTTAATTGATAGTGTTTTGCACTTATTGTGTGTTTTATACCTTGTAGGAGTGATTTCGAGCTATGTAGATATTATAGAATGAATTCGGGCTATTTGGAGCTTTGAAGTCTGAGTAAAAGCCAAAGGGATTAAGCCGGGATCGTGTTCGGGGGTCGAGGACCAAGTCTGGACGTCAAAAAGCAAGATTCAATCCGTACTCTGGGAAAATTGGCTTGCCGCGGCGCGTGGTGTGGCGCGGCTGCCCAAATCCTGATGCCTGATAGATGTTGAGCTCTCTGGATTTTCCCACTAATGCCCCGCATGGCGCGTCGCCCCATGCGGATCGTCTGTATATTGTTTACAAAGTGAAAATTCTATTTCGGTTAGGAGAAGGTGGTTTCGTCTGGGCCCGACCCTACTTGGTATAAATATATGAAAAAATATTTATTTCGGGACTTTTGACACATATTCAACCTAAGGAGGCTAAGGATGAGTTGGAAGAACACAAGCACAAGGATTTCATCATTCCTTTCTCACTCAAGACATGAGTTTGGATTGAGTTTATGTTTTTCTCTATTTTAACTTTAGTTGTGATGAATTACTCCATGTCTATGGAGTAGTTCTATTTAGGTTTTGATGTATTTGATGTATTGATGATTGTTTGTGGATTATAACTCTAGTTTTATGTATTGAAGTATTTTTGGATGATTTAATTGTTACATCTATATTCACTAGTTCATGTAATCGAGAGAGGCATACCTTGTGATATCCTTGCATTATATTGTTGGTTGAGTTCTTTAATTCTTCTTAGTAATCGAAAGAGGCTAGTTGAATCGTTGATTAAACCTAGTTAGGAGGATAATCAAGAGAGGTTCTCCTAAAAACCAATCCAATACGCATTCTTGCATATCTTCACGTGCTTAAATTGGTTCATCTTGTGAGATTAAGACTTAATCGAGAGAGGAGTTTTTGCTGAACATTTGAACTAATAATTGAGTGAATTCGAGAGACTCACTTAAACATTAGAAGTGAATTACTTAGAGTTAGATCCCAAACAATTATCTTGTACCTATCCTATCAACCCTGATTTTCTCCTATTGATAACTTCCTTGCTTACCTTTGTTTCGATTGCCATTAGTCAATAGCTTTAGATTCTTAGTTAATTGTAGTTATTAATCATAGAAATCTCAATTGTTGATCATCTTGGATAGCAATCAAGTTAGAAACTACAAGAATACTATTTAAATCCAATTCTTGTGGATACGATATTATACTATACTATATTTGACTAGCGAGCATAATTTAAGTGTGTGTTTCGAGCTCGTCAGGCTTGATCCTAAGACCTTGTTCCCTAGGTGCAGCTATAAATAGTGAGCTCTATTATCATTGTAAAATACATGAATTTCCTGGCAAACATACGCTACACTCTACTCAAAGCTCAATATAATTTTATCTTCTTGTTTACTGATATCGTTGCTATTGTGCCCGGAAGCACTGCTCTTGGAATTACTATTTCTGCTATTATATCTCCATCTCAAGGCTAAATATTATATTTTTGTCTAATTCATCTATTATTTTAGGATCAAATTAATTCACTTTTCTATAAACCACGTATAAATTCAACTGTACCGTTTTACGGGTAAATAAAAGATATATTCGGCAACCTTATTACTCCCTCCGTTCACTTTTACTTGTTCACTATATAAATATATATTTTTAATCTTACTTGTTCATTATACTAAATCAAGAGAAAGATAATTTTTTTTCTTTCTGTTTTACCCTTATCATTAATTAATTATTTTTCAAAACTTTTGAAAATACTATTATTATCATGAGTAAAATAGTAAAAAAATATTTTATTTATTGTTTCTTACGGGGGCATGAAAAAGTGAACTGAGGGAGTACAACTCTAAAAGTTAGAAAATTTTGTATAATAAATGAATCTTTTTAAGAATCACTTAAAATCTAACATTAACTTGGCTTTAATTTGGATATTATAGTCAGAAGTTAAGCTGCATTTCTGTCTGATCATATTCTAGGTTATTACCTCATTACTTTAGTACATTATTTTACAAGATTTAAGAAACTTGATCCAATAACATTTTACTTTCTTTTTATTTTTAAAAAATCTTTTATATTTGGAGATCAAGGAAAAAGATAAGAGGTGGTAAAATTAACCCACTCTTATTATGTGAAAGATTACAAACGACACTACTAGACAGTATTTTACAGTAAAAGTTTATTTATATTCGATATTTAAACCAAATCAATTAGATACATTATATATGTTCATATGTAGTTGATTTTGACCACATTTTACCAAATCAATTAGATACCAAATCAATTAGTTGATTTTGACCACATTTTACCTTCAATTGAGCTCCGTCGAGTAGCAAATTACTTCTAGTCAAGCGGTCTGATACGATGAACCGGGTCTTATTCCAACTCTCCGGTTCAACTACTGTCAATATATATGACTTTAAGCTTCCTCTTATCTCGTCACTCCATTTTTCTCTGTCATCAATCAACAGTCGTCACAGCTTTCTTGGCCGGTAAATTGCAACGTCTCCGACCGTCGCCGATGAATCTCCGATGAACAGTAATTCCGTGAGCACCTTAATTTCAGCTTCTTTTCTTTATATAATTATTCCTTCCCTGCCCTTTTGAGTTAGCTAGCTAGCTAAAGCACAATACTGTTCACAAACTCTAACAATTTTATTTCCATCTAATCCTGATTATATACCGCTTATTCTGTTGAAAATAGGTGGTTTCTCACAAATAGAATTGAAGAATAGAAAATTGAGACATAGTTTGACTAAGTGAAATTCAGAGACTAGGGTTTTTTTAGGTCACTCTGGTTAAATTTTTATTGTTAGTCGTTCGAGACGGGGACGATAGGTGTGGGTTTAGAGAATAATGTGTATATTGTGTCAGATACAAAGGTGGTCTAGAGGGGTAGCTACCATGTTGCCATGGATGGTGATTCCACTGATTGGGTTATGGGCACTATCACAGCTATTGCCACCTGCATTTCGGTTTGAAATTACGTCGCCGAGGTTTGCTTGTGTAATGGTGCTTCTGTTTACACTTTTGTGGTATGAGGTTTTGATGCCTTGGTTGTTAGCTTGGCGGGTGAGAAGGATTGCTAGGCTTAGAGAGAGGGGGAGGCTCTTGGCTATTGAAATACAGAAGTTGAGGAAAATAGCAACGAGGAGGTGTAGGAATTGTTTGACTCCGTATAGGGATCAGAATCCCGGTGGTGGGAAGTTTATGTGTTCATATTGTGGGCATATATCGAAGAGACCTGTTCTTGACTTGCCTGTGCAGCCAGGATTGGGGCTTCTGAATTCTGGGATTTTGAAAAACTTAATTGGGAAAGGTGGAAAGATATTAAATGGGAAGGTTTGGCCTGACAATAGGTTGATGTGTAGACAGGATTCAGTAGAGGATGAGAATTGGGTCAAGGGTTCTTTTGTTGGGAAGTCAAGCACTTGGAGAAATAATGGCAGTGGATTTTTCGATAGGGAGCATTGTTTTGCAGAGAAGTCATATTCTCGTGTTTTTATTTTAGCCAGCAAAGCTTTGACGGATTTTTTCTCTAGTATCATGTGGCTCTGCAGGAGTATTTTTAGGATTAGTTCCTTCAGGGACGGTGATGCTTCAATGAATGCAGAGCAAAGAGCAATGTTGGATAAGAGAAGGGAAAATGGGGGGAATTTTCAGGAGAGTAGATGGGAAAAAACTCGAAGAAAAGCAGAAGAGAAGAAGCAGGCTAGGTTAGAGAGGGAGCTATTGGAGGAGGAGGAGCGACAACAAAGAGAGGAAGTTGCTAGATTGGTGGAAGAGCGCAGGAAATTGCGGGTGGAACATACAGAGGCCGAGAAAGAACATAGTAAAATGTCACTCTCTGATAAGGTACGAGACAGTAAAAGAGAAGCAGAAAAGAGGCGTCAAGAGAAGAGGAAAGAAAGGGACAGGGCATCTAGCAAAAGCAACTCAGATACAGAAGAGCTGGATAAAAGTGCAGCCAAGGGAAGTGAGCGAAGCAAGTGTGATGTGAGTGATAGAAGGCGGCAGCAAAAAAATAGGCGAGAAACTGTTAAGTCACATAATGCAGAAGTTATTCATGGTTCTAAGGGTGCTTCGAAAAGCAATCACAACCATGGGAATGTTGGAACTCGGTACTTGGATAGTATTAGGGGTACCCTTTTATCGTCTTCTATAGCATTTACTGGAGGTGATCATTCTGTAAAGAGTAATAATACTTTTGTTCCAAGAGAACACAAATCTAAGACTGGCATAGACCATATTCAAACCCATGGCTCGAGAAGGAAACTATCTCAGCCAGATAGGGTATCTGGAAAACTGAATGCAAATGTGGACGAAAGGAGCATCAACCAGCCTGTAAGTCTTCTGTCAAATTTTCTTTTTCTCTTGCTTATATCTATGCCTTCATTTTCATCAAATATCCTTCTGGTACTTCTGCTAAAATTAAGACTTTCTCCGGCAGCTTATAATTCGGTGTGGCATTTTTAATAGTCATTTCATTTTTTGGGATCTATCATTATCTCGTTTACTTGACCTATAATTCTGAAAGATAGAATTTGCATCGTGCAGGAGAAATAATCTTCGATAGTCTAACAGTAATTTACCCAGTTGCCATATGTGTATTTACCCTGATCTGTTTGTTACAGGTGCTTATTGAACCTCAACCATCTACAGCTCCTAAAAAATCATGGCAACAATTATTCACACGTTCAACTGCTGTTTCTCATCCAACTTCAAATGTGATAAGCAGACCATGTGTTAGGCCACAAGCAGAAGTTCAAACACCAACTTACCCCTTTCAACCTCCATCTACACAATCCTTTGACAACCCCATTAGCTTTGGACTCCCGTCACCTTTTCCTTTATCTACTTTTGCTTTTGGATCCACAAGTAATGGTACAACTCTTCCATTATCATCAGAACCATTGATTCCTCTAGTTGGAGATGGTGCAGGTCAGTTATTGCCAGAGGAGTCAGAGATTTTTGAAGATCCTTGTTATGTTCCAGACCCAGTTTCATTGCTTGGACCCGTTTCTGAGTCACTCGATAACTTTCAGCTTGACCTTGGGGTTGTGTCAAATGTAGGATTGGACAAACCATGTCCTGTAAAGGGTGTCAATGTCTCTTCTGAAGTAACCAGACCATCACCGATTAAGTCTCCAATATCAAGATTGTATGTTCCAGAGGAGAGGCATGCTGAGTCTTCTCTTTTCGCCCGCACTCCTAAGGCTCAGAATGTACGCAATGTGGCACCAATGAATGTTTCAAGTAATGCAAATGATACGGGAACATGGAAGATGTGGAATAGCTTTCCACTTGGCCAAGATGGTCTTAGTTTAATTGGTACTCCAGCCAACTGGCTTTTAAATCCAGAACTTAACAGATCAAACATGGAAGAGATAATCTCTCCTGCACCTCCGAAGACCATGGCTTCACTGTTTAAAAAGGATGATCAAGTCCTTTCTGTCTCTCATTCTCCACAAACAGTTTATGCAGGAAATTGCCAGAATGGCACGACACTTGGTGCTTATTTGCCTAGTAGTGCTGAAAACGGGTTCCAAAACTCACTCTTTGGTGAAAGTCAATTCTCTCTCAATCCTGAGAATGCTGCTCAGAGTTATTATGAGAGTCCTAATGCTCCCGTGACAAGCTATCCATTTGAGTTGTCTCCACCTGATTTTTGGGCCAAGTAAGCAAAAGAAAAAGCTCTAACTTCCATTGTTTTAAAAGATACGTGACCTTTTATTTGTAGCATGATTGTGTTTTTGACTTTGTGAGATTTGAAACCCTTTAGGTATGTAGCTGCAGTTTTTTTTCTTCTTAATGTGTCTGATTCTTCTCTTTCTGAAAATTACTTTTGGGACCATCTCATGAGTCTTGTGTAGTTATAATGTTTAGCCACCATTGCCTTTTGTGTTAAAGCATAGAAGTGCATGCTACTGGCGACTGCAAATACATACATACATACATACATATATACTTACATACATACATATATACATATATATATATATATATATATATTTGTGTGTGTGTGAGAGAGAGAGTAGCCATAATATAGATGTACATGTTGGCATCCCTAAGGATAGACAGTATGCTTCTTTCTGGATGCATTATCAATATCAAGAATTATTTTAGTAACATGGACCTTTACATGTGTTTTTATGTATGTTTTATATGTGTGTGTGTGTGTGCGCGCGCGCGCGCGCGTGTGTCTGTGAGAAAGAGAAAGAGAGAGAAGTTGAATTCAATTCAAGTTGGACAGAACCTGAACCAACATCAATTTTGGACTCTTTTGCCCTTGAACAATTACGGATAAACAGTATTGAAAGGTTTTCTTGAAGTATACTTACCATACTGCTGTAGCCTGTGCCATCTCGAGATGATCAGTATAGAAAACTAAATGTACCATTTGCAATGATAGTACTGCTTTGGGGACAAGTAGCTGATGAGTTCAGTGAAAGCTATGTTGTGGCAGTGCTTTAAACCTATGCTTTATTTGTTAGAATCCATACTGCAGCATGTTGAGCCAAAAAAATTTGTAAGGTTAAGGGTTAGAAATTCAGCATAAGAGAGTTTATTTTATAAATAACTAATGTTTTAATTAACCAAAGTTATGTTCAATATATATGCTAAATTTATAATACTAGTCCTTTTTTACTAATCCATATCTTTTAAGAAATTGGGAACCTCCATCTTTGCAAGGCTTTAAACTTTTTGAGTGTGTTCTCAAAAACGATGAGCAGGTCAACATTATTTGAAGATACTGCAGAATGCTCCCACAATGGTATTTGAATCAAGGTCATGTACTTGTTCAAATTGGCCTGGACAGTGCCTCCTAAACATGTGCTTCTCTGTAGAAGTCCTTGTCTGACATGGCATTTTTCTGGATTAAGTTGCTCCATGACTGGTGTTTTTTCAGCAAAAAATCTATATAGTTTAGATTAGGAATATGTATGGAACATTTAGGACAGGGCTGCTGCTGTGTGTAGCTGTCAACTGGAAAAGACAGATGCTTTACCCTTTTTGGTTTGCTAACTAGCTCGATTTCGGGCTCATGTCTGAAGCCTTAAAGCCATGTATGCAGCACAGTTTAAAACTCTTTAGGATGAGGTAGTGGAACCTGGCAACAGAGGAAGACGGAACCTAAGGCCAGGTTGTTTACCTGTTGATCTTGAAGCCCCATATTTTATCCTTTTCTGAGATACTTGCAACTGTACATTTTTTCGCGCCGAAGCACAAGAAAAATAATATAACTATTCAAAAAAAAACTAAGCCTTTTGTGATCGGCAATTTGAGCTTGTCAACTAAATGATTCTATGGTGACATAAACCTTGGGCATAAGTGTTAAAGACAATTAGATCTCTCTTCTCACACATTGTTTGGGGGTTGGACGTACTACTAAATGTGTAAATTCATGGTCGTGCGTGGTATTAACTTGTGTTCGGTCCCCCAAATACTCTGTATTTGTTTTCTCTGAGAGAAATTGTAAAAAGTATAGCTGTCTCTTTCCATTTGTCATTATAATAGAAAAGGCTTGGATAATTCATTTTCACTTTTTGTTTAATATGAATGTTGCCTACTTTTAAGGGAAAAATATTGTTCTCAGTCAAAATTAACCAAATGAAACTTAACCCCCC